AAAAAAAAACTGCTAGTCATGTCCCTCAATTATATAAATGAATGATAACCACAGCAATCGTACTCAATATAACGTTGTACGGTCTGGATGTGTGAAAGCGCCCATAAAAATGAGTTGGCAAGGTCTTTGAGACACGAACACCGTCTCAAATGGACGTAGACATATAATGTCAAACGTGTTACATAACTTGTCAGAGTAGAGATCTCTCTCTCTCTCCATGCACGAAAACCGCCCCAGGATGATCGATTGGTGTTGTAATGAGTTGGCACGCCTCCTATATATATATATATATATATATATATATATATATATATATATATATATTTTGTTATTATTAAATTTTGAATTAGTACTAAATTTATTTAAAATTATAGATGAACCAAATCTATTAGTAAAAATAAGGATAAACACTTATCATTGTTTATCTTGTAGGTTGAGTTTTATATTTTTTTATATTTTTCATATTCGGTTATATCTTCATTTATATAAACATTTGATGAGAACCAAATCTATTATACAAAATACACACAAAGAAATTCGTGAGTTTTTTACTGATAGATTTTAAAAAAGTCTAAGATCAACTAGAAAACTAGTCATGATCCAAAAATCTCAATAGAAGCATGTAATAATTTTTCTTTTTGTTTATTTCTTTTAATCAGATTTGAAATCATGATCTAAAGATTAAGCTTCCACACTTTATGTTTTAGTTATGAATATATGAAATTTTGTATGATATTGTTTTTGTGATGTGTGTTGGACCCAAATGTAGACACAGTCAAACTAAATAATATAGTTCTTGTAATTAGGGGTGAGCAAAAACCGCACCGCAACTAAAATTAACCGCAACTGATAAACTGCAACCGCAATAAAAACCGATGGTGAGGTTTTATGTTTTTCAAAAACCGCAAATTTGCGGTGCGGTGCAGTTATTAGTTTTCAAAAACCGCAAAAAAACCTCACCGCACCGCATATATTATATACTATTTTTTTATTAATTATTAATATATTAAATATTAAAAATAAGACAAGTTTCATGGATGAAAAATGGATAAAATACTAGAAGACAAAAGTGTTGGTTTTTTGTTCTGTTTAACTTTGAAAAATTGTGAAATTAGACAATTTTAAGATATTTGTTGTTAATTAATATTGATTTGACGTTTTTAAGAAATAAGTTGTTTGTGATTCAAGTTAATTGTCTTATACCTTATGGTTTTTTTATTACTACAAGTAATATATTTGAACTATTAAAACTGTTTGAGCTCTAAACCGTGGTTAAAAACCACAAACTAACCGCACCAAATCCATGCGGTTAATAACCGCAACACAAAAAAAAAAAAACAAAATCACACCGCAAAAATAACCGCAGCAAGCGGTTTTGAAAATGGATTAACCGCATTTGCGGTTAGTGGTAAAGTTTTTGCTAATAACCGCACCGAACCGCACTGCGCTCACCCCTACTTGTAATAATGATCTTTTGAAGGTTTTAAAAATCCATATGCGATATTTTACAATCAAACATTTCGGGTTGTCAATAACTTAAGTTATGACATTCTACTTATTTTCACATAAATTAATTAACATAATATATCACCAAAGTGATATGTTTTAAGAAAATTAATTTACATATAACTTAAATGTTATATGTTATGGTCTATGTGTTTATTAATACCTATAGTTGCATCTGAAGTGGATACACTGAGTGACAATTTAATTTTGGTTGAGAATGATTCTCGAAGCTTTTGGACATATAGGTCTAGACCAAGAAATGCTTCATGAGTTAAATTGTATCTTCAACCAAAGCTAAAGCAATCATCTGTTAAAGCATTCAATAACCATTACAATCACCTAAAATGTTTAATGAGACTGAAATCCCAAACACAAAAACAAAAACTTCTATCGTTCTCATAGTTAAATCAATTCTAGAAACAAAAGTTACAAAATAAACAAGACATCCGTGTCAAACTTAGTAACAAATTTCTCTCAAACTCACCTCACAATACAATAAAAAGACACCATTGTGCACACGGAGATACAGAAGCCAAATCTTTCAGGTATTTATACATGTATGCATTAAGAATAGCAATGCAAGACGAAAAATAAACATATGAGAAAATAATAAAAAAAAGAATCTTGATGTTATAATGTATTTTACCCATCCATCATATACTACATCATGTACCATAGATTGAAATTCATATGGAAGAAACTACCCCGAGAAGTGACCTCCCTATGAAGCAGCAATCTGCAGATACAAACATTTAAGAACATAAATAGAATAAAGATTCTTCCTGTTTATCAGTTTAGCCACTTAGCTATTTTCTGTAGGTGATCAAACCCTTATACTTTTTGGATGGTTAAAAAACTTGGTTTACCTGATTTTGGAAAAGGTTAAATACAGGAAAAAATGATGTATCTTCACATTTTATCAATTTAGCCACCAAACTATTATATAACTATTCATTATTATTAAAAAAAATTATCAGTTTCTTTTTACTAGATTTATAAAACATATATTTTTACCTTATTTACAAGCATGTTTACTTGTTCTCTGTACATCTCCTTCAAGTCCACAATATCAGCACGAAGCTCTTCAAGCTACATACAGCAAAATTACCATGAAAAGAATCAGTTATTCCGTTTGTTACTAAGACAAAACAAATTAGTGATAATAAAATAAGTAAACAAACAAAATAAGATATAACTCCCATGATGGTACTAGTTAAATGAAAATACCAAAACTACCCTAAACCAATCAAGGGTGAAAAAGTAATTTTACCTCCTCGTCTCTTTCACCCATCAACTCTAGTGCAGCAGAGTGCCTTCGTCTTAATGCTTCTAGTTCTGCTTTTAAGCCAGGCAGCACAGACACTTCTGACCTTAATTTTTCACACTGCACCAAAGCACGTCAGAGGTTAATATAGTCATTTACCATCAAAAATGAAAAAAAAGGAAAGGAAAATCTACCTCCTCTGTCAATTTAACCAACTCCTCAGCAAGAGAGTCACGAATGGATTCCATGGATGCCTAAAGTTGACATGATCAGCCACATAATCAAATTAGATAACTAGGACACTGTACTTTGAAGATTTTACCCAATTATAACATTGTACTTCCATTTTTTCCTATTAGCACAATGTACTTTGAAAAAACAACTGAATTATAGCAGTGAAAATTGTTGCTATTTTTAAGAAGAAATGCTGTAATAAGAAGAAATGAAATAAACAGAAGTACATTGCTATTTATTGCATTCAACACTAAAAGGTAACTCAAATTGGCCTGTTTTCAATGATTGAGAATCTAATCATTACCAATCTTGACATATAAGATGCAAGTTCACCCTCCTTATGACGTAGGGCAGCTTCAAAAGCATTTGGTGTCACACTCTTTAAATAATAAGAGCTCATGGTAGGCTCTATAGGATTTCTCCTTTCAGATAAAGAATCAGACGAGTCCAAAGATGCCTGAAGATAAAAACTTTCCTCCATGCTGCCTAAACTGCTAGCATTTGAAAGTCTGCGACTTAATCCTTCAAAAGAGGTCCGAAAATTAAAAACCAAAATGAGAGAAAATGGATCATAAACAGAGAATAATGTTTTATATATTTTCGTTTTACCATTTTCATAGGAAGATTTAGTTCTGGCTATTGGACTTTGTTCAGGAACAATAGAAGACTGAAGGCGAGCTGTTGTTTCTAATTCCAAACGTGCAGCTTTTTCGCGTTCTATATCCTGTAATCATCAGGAACATCCTTTATATTAATTAAAAGTATTTTTATTAACAGAGAACGCAATACTCATTAATCAATATAAGCTTAAAGGTTGGAACAAATACTCCTCATGCATCATAGATTTTATGCAAAAAAACCGGTTAAATGCAAGAAATAGCAACAAACTTTCATTGATCTGTTTATTTTAGCATCCTACTTTCATTTCTTCCTATTACAGCATTGTACTATGAAAATATACCATTTATAGCAATATCATTCAAATACAAAGCACTTCTCGTTGCTATGTTTGGGTATATTTTCAAAGTATTATGCCGCATAATAAATAAAAAGTTGAAAGTACAATGCTATAATTGGGTAAATTTTTCAAGGTGCAATGTCTTAATAAGAAAGAACGACTTAACAGGTAAAGTCCAGGAAAAGAGGCTTTCCCCATTAAGTCTTAACTTTTTAAATATTTTCCCTCATTTTCCTTTTTTTCCAAGTGTGTCGTCATTTCCTCTAATATCTTAAAACATCACTAAAAGATAAAGGAACCTGCTGAAGAAGTTCATGGTGGGTCAATGCTTCTTGGAGCTCTTGCTTGTGCTTTCTCTTGAGTTCCCTTATCTCTTCTTCAAGTTGATTCACATGATCTTCATGAGTATCTGCCTCCTCTTTTAGTGCTAAGTACACCTGTCGACTTTCTGCTGCTTTCTGTCTTTCCTTCTCAAGTGACCTAGTAAGTTGCGTTTGCTCACTTCTTAAACATGAAATCTGCAACATTTTATAAAAATTAAGCCAATGATTTCCATAAATTTGAAACAAATTAACCAATCAATCACCTGAGCTTCAAGAACATTTACACGAGATAATGTTTGGGACAGGCGTTCGTTTACAGAACGCTCCCTTTCCTCTGCAGCTGCAGATTTGGCCTCCGCTTCCTTCAAATTTATAAATATTAGTGAATCGAATAATGATTTAATGATATTAATATATATATATATATATATATATATATTATTTTGTAGGACCTACCTGAAGGCGTGAGTTCAGTGATCTCTCGACAGCTGTCCAAGCTTCTGCTCTTCTAGCTGTTGCTTCCTATTTACATAAAGGGGTAGTGAGAAAAACAAGTAGTGAAAATTAGAAAAAAAAGAGTGTAAAAAGGAAAGCAAACCTGTATGGCTTCTATTTGCCTCAAAAGAGGTCTAGTGGAATCAGGAACTTGCATGACCAACTCTTCACATCTACGCTCACTTTCCTGGAGACAAATGATACAGTAAGGGGATGTTTGGTTTGTAGAATGTTTTTAGATGGAATGGAATTGGAATCTGAAGGAATAATAATCTGGTATGTGTTTTATTGGGTAAAGTGGTATGTAATTCAACAATAATTATTATTATCATAATAATTAACAGATTACAAAATAAACGTTATATTTGGGCAGCTTTGTGGTTTAACCACTAATACTTTACTTTTTTCGAATCAAACCATAAAAGTTTAAAATCTTTATCCAAATTAACCATTTTGACCTGTTATATCAGGTTTCACAGGTAATTTTGTTTATATTAAGTTTCACCAGTAATTTTTCCTAATTAACCATATATATTGGAAAAATGTCTGAAACTTTTGCTTGATTGGAAAAAAATAATGTATAAGTGGTTAAAGCGCAAAATAGCCCAAAATGTAATGGTTTTTCTGTTATATCTTTTTAAATTTTTTATATTAAATACTTTTTTATATGTTGTAAATATGTAATTGAATTTATTATTTCAGTTTATGTCAATAGATATAGCGAGGGTATTTTAGTCTTTTAAAGTAAAACAAAGAACAGAATTGAATTCCATCAACCCTGCCCTAGGAATGATGAAATCCATCAAACATGGGATTTGAAGGATTCCAGCGGAATTGAATTCCGTCTATTTGGCAACCAAAGACGCCATAGAATGGAATCTTGAATTCCAATTCCATCAAAGGTAAGGAATCACAGATGAATACAAGAACATATTATTGACTCGATAAAATTATTTATGGAAACCGAATGTACTTGGTATCGTTTTTGAAGGTCCTCAATGTCTCTCCTAAGCATGTCTTCTCTAAAAACCGCCTGCAAAAATGAAATTAAATTATTTCAACATAATTACAAAGAAATTTAAATGAAATTCAAATGTTCCAATTTCCAAATAAACACCTGCTGTTCCGATCTGCTTAAAGTTTGCCTTAACTCTTCTAGAGTTTGAACTAGCATAACTTCACGTTCTTGAGCCTCCCTTAAACGGGTCTCTAATTCAGTTCTGGCTTCAGTGTTAGCTTGTGCTTCTGCTAATGCTTCAGCTTCTTTGGCTGCATTTAATGCATTTGTATAGTATTCTTTTTGTGTTGCAAGTTCAGCCTGGCTTTTTTCTATTGTTTCTTGTAGTAATTTCTCTGTGGCTGCTTTATCCCTCTTTATACTCTCTACCTTATTCTCTTCAACCTGGTAAGTAATTGAAAAGGATAAGTAATATTAACAAATCTCAAAGTGTGAATGCAATCATATTTTTAAGGCTAATCAATAAAATGACCAAAAGGGAAAAGATCATATCACAAAATGACCACCTATTTTGCGAAATTGCTTTATCAGTGGTCCCCACTAGAAAAATCTTTTGAAAAAGAGTGAATTTCTTCAATTCGCCAAAATGACACTAATTTTGCAAAACAAGATGTCATTTTCGCGAAAGATGAGCAATGAAGTGGGGACCACTGAAAAAGCAATTTCCTGGAAAAAGGGTATTTTGAGAAATAAATGATCATTTTGTGATATAATTTAAAAAGGTGGTCAAATGATGATAAGACCACACTATATTCGTGATTATCCTAATTTTAATCACATCTATGTGACTTGTACTAAAAATGAACTTGTCATAACTGTAACAGACTGATTTTCATATGTTTTTGTATAGATATAAGCTCCTAGCATAGTTAAAAGCTTTTAATACTGAAAGAGATCGATAGACATATTATTTTGTAACATATTATATCAAATATCAAGACAAGAAGCACTGAAACAGGTTGTGCATGGAAAATTACCTGTAGCCTGGCCATCAATCCTTTCTTCTCTTCTTCAAACTCCCTGATCTAGCTTTCACACAAAATAAATTTTACATATTAAAATATATATGTGGAGAGGAACAGTTTCAGGTTCTAAATGGAAGGAAAAGTAGTATCTTTATTGCACCACACCTGTGCCCGAAGTTTCCTAATTTGAGATTCTTGAGCAGCTTGTTTCTTTGAAAGCCCTTCCCCTAAATGAATGAAAAATAATAGTTATATCATGGTAAACCTCCTACATACATTCAAAATTTTATTACCTTCTGCCATAATTTGGGTGATTATTTCATCTTTTTCTTTCAGAAGAGCAGCAGCATCACTTTTCTTATTTTGCTCTCTACGTAATGTATCCCTTTCCTTTGTGAGAGCATAAACCTGTATTTGATATCAATAATATTCGTTCAATAATAACTACATCAACTTTTTAGTAAAATACGTGTTTTGTAATTGAAGTTAAGGTGTTATGCTTCAAAACATACATGGTACAACCATCCTCCTATGAATGAATACTATTGATATTAAATACAGTTTTATTTATACAAATTGTATACCTTTCTTTCAAGAGTTGAGACCCTTTGATGATACTCTTCTCGTAGAGACTCAATATCTGCTTCATTTGGTTTTCTCTGTTTTAAAAATATGAAAGAGAGAGTTTAGAAGGAAAGAAATAAAAAACAAATTGCAAAGGGAATATTGGCTGGTGAAAGTTACAATAGTTTCACTAGAGCACAAGCTTTTGACAGACTTCAAAATCATTCTAAGCTTCTTTCACATCCCTTTTAAGGGTATAAGACCATTTTGTTAAAATAGGTTCTATCTAAGGCCTGAAGGGCAACTATATTTATGATGAAGCAATTACAAAGAGAGGACAGGTTATGGAGGGGACATAAGTACATAACTAGGAAACATTATTGCCAGTAGCACATCCTATAAAGAAATTTTGTTAATTACCTAATTTATGATAATGGTAATTTTTTATAAATAAAGGAGGGAACAATCTGAAACCATAAAAAAGTAGTTTTAACATTCCATTAATAGGAATGCAACTGTTCACATGCATAGCTGCAGACATGTGCAAATATGTGGGATTCGAAGATTGTATTCATACATTTGTAGCAATATATAACTCATTTAAAAGCCATAAGTTCTCAATAAAAAACATGGACTAGAACGTACCTTCTGATCCTCAATTATAGACTTCAGTTGCTCATTCTCGTTCAATAGCCTTGCAATTTCATCAGCTTTTGCCTGTTAACAGAATATAATAATAATGAATGAATTTAAAAAATACAGGATACTCTTCCAGTGAAAAAATTTATCATCGAAGTTCAAGATATAGAAGTAACTACATTTCAGCCAATTAAGGAAAAAAAAAACTAATATCATTAAGTTGTTTTCAACAAATGATACAAAATAGAAGTATGGCAATGATGAAACAAAATTGACTTTTCTATATTTGGACTAAGTTACAATTTAGATAACTGCCTGTTACCAAAAAAAAAAAAAAAAAAAAAAGTTGGCTGATGATCTTTGATAGATTTCCCATGGAGGTGGTTTATTTATTAGAGATACAATTTATAAGCATGAACAAAGATTAACAGCATGATTCAGATCTTCCAATCTATTACAAGATTTGCTCTTCTACTGTACCAAGATACCGAAATGTCAATTAATATTTAACATCTTTCATCTCTCAAAGTTGCAATTTACATCTTTCAATGTCGATCTAGTAAGGATTAGATCAAAAATACCAACTTCCATAAACCAAAAGTTTAATAAATCAAATACCTGAGCTTGTCGAGCAGCTCCTAGGAGTGCAGTCTCCATCATTTTCATCTCTCTAGTCACCTTCTCCAGTTCTACCTTAGAATCTGCATTGCTAGATGAATTGCTTTCTGAAATCGGATGCTGTTCCTTTATATGAATGTCAGCATTTTCTTTGTCTTTCTCTGAAACTACTTCAGGAACCATCACAGCAGCAACATCATCTGAACTTTGTAATGAATGCAGTTGGCCTTCTTCAGCAACTTCAGTCGTCTCAAGTGTTTCAGATCCAGTTTGGCCATCATATAAAGGTTTCACCACTTCAACTGCAGAAACTTCTTGTGAAGTATCTGCTGACTCTGTCTTTGGTCCATCATCATCTTTTTGTAAATCAGGAGCTTGGTGCACTTCATTTAGTTCAGAGGCCATTACAACCTGGTCTGAGAAACTTGTTGACTCATCTTGTATTGATTCACACTTTTCTAAAGGTTCAGCTTCTGAGCTATCCCTGCTGAGAACATGATTCTGTATTGACCCTGGTTGTGGATCATCAGATATTGTAATATTTGTTGCTGCAGATTTTTCACCAATGTTTTCTGCATCCTCAGGAGTTGAAATATTGGTTTCCAGGGGTTTGTCAGAAACATCTGCATGCTCATGCATATCAATATTTGTTTCCACAGATTTTTCGGCAGTGATATTAGCCTCCTTCAAGGCTTCAATGTTTGTTCCCTCATGGAGATCTTCATGCTCTTCAGGCTTTAAAGATTCTGCATTCTCTTCTCTAACATACTGGTAATGTTTGTTGATAGAATCAGCTGAATTACCAGCCTCAGTCCCTTCCTTTTCTTTAGAAGAGGATGAATGCTGAGGACTAGAAGTTTGAAGTACTTCCATAGACTCAGCAGTTCCATCCTCACCTTTCTGTCCCATAAACGCCATCAAATCGGAAGGCCATAACCCTGAAGCTGGTTACAATTAATAAATATACTTAGTATTATGATAGGATAAAAAGAAAAACCATCAACATCACGTCTTTTAGATGACTGACCTTCCAACATCACAATCAAAAAACTATAAAAATCAAAGTCCTATGAACTTCATAACTTGATTGGCATGGAGATGTCAAAAGATCTCCCAAGAAAACGGGGTGTCTAAGATAGTGCATGAGGAAGATGACGTTGAACAGATTGAATCTCATTATAACATGGCAAGATATTAGTGTAATGAGTGGATATCATGTAAATGAAACCCAGATTATGCGTTAAATGAAGATGTTAGTAATGTTCCATTAATTTTTATTTCTTCAACTGCTTGGAAATTTATTGGTTCTTTTTATTGTGTGTGGGACTTGCCATAAGATGGATGTCATTGTCCCTAACATGACCATAAATGATCGAGTGCTCAAGATTTCTAACAGAAGTCAAGAAGAAACACTTGTTGCTGCATGTATGTCAAAAGATAGTTCAAAGCTAGAATTGTTTCTTATCATTGACAAAAATACATCATGCAAATGGACGAAGCTTTTAAACCATGATTAATTACTAATTTTCTATGTTGGTATTCTATAACTGTTGGTTCTTAATCTGGTCTAAAAATCAGTATTTTATAACACCCCCCCCCCCCCCTACAATGAAATTGCAATCATTCTTTATGGGGTTTCCCATGAAATTTGCAAAGTTCCCCTTTTTGGAAACTTCTTAAACTAAAATCAGATAGTTACCATAGTCACTGTTACAAACAAATAATGATCTTTATTTTAGTCCACAAAATTTCCTTCTTTTATGAAACCTGACTAATAACCCAACATTTTCCTTGAATGTTGCAGCATTCATGGGGCAAAACAAAACTTACTATAAATACTTCTTATTTTTGTTTTGGGTGTTGGTACTTCTTCTGTCAATTTGATGCCCATATCGTGGCATGTTGGTCATATTTGTATCGAATGTTTTGTTTAGATTTAAGTGTTTCAGATTCCATACAATGCTTTAATTGACATTACCATAGAAGTTGCATATTTGTTTTTGTTGAAGTTGGCTACAACAAAGCACAATTTAGTAGTTTCAAAATATAGTAAGGAGTTCAAATGGGACATTTGCTACCACAAAACACAGGATATGACAAAATAACTAAGCATTCAGAAACAATCCATGGCATACAAGCATCATATAATATAAGTCTATCCAACTAGTCCTGAGCAATCCCACAAACAAATAAGCCATAATAGTTGCATTTCATGTGTTTTACTGTATGATACTATCTATAGATGTGTTTTTGTACTGGAAAAGTAAAATTAGTAATGAAAGAAAGATTCCAAATATAAGGCAAGGCATATCAAGCAAAGCTAAGTACCTTCAGTAGAGGAAGTGGAGCTAGGACCACCACCAGCCTTGTCTTCAAATCCAAGGGCACTGTCAAAATTCTTTTCAATGTTCTTAACGCTCTCACTGAGCTTGTTAACTGCTCCAGCTAAATCCGGGAAGTTCCCTAACGAGACCTTCCCACTAAACCAAGCCATCTCTCAATCTAAAGTTATAATCTTCCGAATCCCTCAGACTACACGGATCAAATGCATCAGAAAACCTACAGATTCAGACAAAAAAATAACTTGATCAGCATTCGATTGCACAATTAAACTCAATTTTAGGCATAGGCCACAGAAAGCACAACAGATCTACAGTTTCGTGGATTCAGACTGTGAGCCATGGATTCGGATACGTACTTTGCTTTATCGTCCTCAATGAATCTCTTGGGATTTGTCTTGCGAGCTATCAACTAGAAGTGATCTATCTTTGTGAAGAAAACCTTAGTTAATTCGACGATGATCTGACTGTTAATTAACCTGAACGATGATACATATGTATGTCAGAGAGAAGACGATTGAGCAGAAATCAGGTGCGAAAAACAGGGCCTGTTGACGGCGATGAACTGAAATCCAGATAGCGCGAAGGGCCCAGGCCGGTGATTCACACTTTAGTCTTTACTCTTTACTGCGTAACTCATAGCACATATAGAATAAATTGTCTTCCCGATCACCAAAACAGAATCAACTATTTATTATTTTTTTCATTGTTGTTTTCTATAATTTTTTAGATTTTCCTGGTTAATATTTTTATTCTTCCTTTCGTCAAAATCGAGACGATATCTTTTACTTGTTAGGTTGACTTTAGAGGTGCAAATAGATAAGTAAGATGAGTACGATTATATAAATATAAGGTTGGGGCAGTGTCGATCGGAGAATAAAAACTCACATGGTTCCCTATTTAACTAGCAGGAATTAGTGGCGTCATTGGCACTAGATTGGATCACCATTGCTTAAGTGTTGACAAAATTTTAATTTGTGACTTTTGACTGAGAAGGGGCTGGTGTGTTAAATTTCCTTCTGTCTGCAAGAGTCGTTTGTTTCTTGTATTTTTTTTAGAGATGCACATGCAATAAACATTATGAACTTATTTAATATTGACGTTGATTACAAGTACATGGATGAAAGAACATACGTTCACTTCCCTAATCAAAAGACAACCAAAATTCCCTAATCAAAAGACAGCCAAAAGAGATGGGGATCTACATTCACAATATAAGTCAAAAGAGACAGATAAACTACATCAGAAAAAATATGAAGAATATGTAAGATGTGTTGTAGTAAAAAATGATCAAACTCATGTACTCACATAGCCAAGCATTGCAGAGTATATAATTGGTAAAACTTGTCTTTATATCACTGTAAGCACAAGGAATCAAAGTTCTTCAATCCTGAAACAAAGTCATCAAAATAAATCTGTCATACTTTAACCATTGTTCCATCACAAAATGGGATTAAAAAAAGTAATATTAAACAATAACTGAGCACAAAATTAAGATTAAAAAGCTAAGTGAGCACAAAATTAAGATCACCCTGACTAATATATTTGAATAAAAATTAAAAAATCTGATTCAGACATTTTATCGAGCAGTTGGTGGGTGGGTATAACTGAAGTGTTTTCTTGGTGTAGCATGGAGGGCACTCAGGTACCTGGAACAAACGACATCATCTCATCTGAATTAAGTAAAGATAAATGGGTATTGATGAAGCATTCAATGACATAATAAAAGAAGATTACTAAATTTCAAAGTTCATACCTTGGTAATGTCTTGTCCAAAATGAATGGAACCAATTGATTTCAAGTAAAGGGAAGAGAGAAGCAGGTGGCAAGGCAAGCATGATGATAGTTTTCTCTGCATAGTCTCTGTCCACTCCTCCCTTTTGAGCACCATATAGCAACACATAGCAGCAGAAAACCTAACCGTGGTTGAGGAATGAATTTGTTTTCAGTGGAATTTGGAACGGGTATAGAATGAGATTAAGGAACGGGAATATAATAGATTCCATGGCGGTCGGGGACAAAGCAGAGGCGAGCACAGTAGGGGCTGATCGTTTCCTGGAAATCCCGTTCACTCCAAATCAAGGGGAATTAGAGTATGAGATGGGTTTAGAGGAATAACGGTATGCATGGGAGTTTGGTATGTGAGGTGAAATCGTAGTCGATTTAGAAGATGGTGGAAGAGATTTGTTCTACCGACATAACTAAGCGATGGCGGAGTTGGGAAAGAACGGTCGAAAGTCGGCAAGAAATGGAAGAGCAGAATCTCCAAAGATGAAGTAGAAGAGGTGGCTAGCGGCGGTGGAGCGACCTGGAAGACAATGTCGGCAGTAGTGAAAGGCGGTGGAAGATCTTATTAGAGGAGGCGTGCGACAATGAGTATATGTCTTTGTGAAAGAAGATGTTAAGGGAGGTAAATATAAAATCTAAAAAGAGTGGCAAATGTGTGAAATCGACAAAAGTCTGTGGCCAAAGTACAATTTAGTATAGATTCATGTTCACCAACTGTATGAGAATTAATATGTATATAATTAAGTGAAACCGGCATAAATGAAAAAGTCAAAAATACTAATAGCGGGACGGATCGTATAAGCAAAAATAATAATAATAATGTTCTTACAAACGAAAATTTACATTCTTGATTTTCTTAAACGATGAAAAAATATTTAAAGTTCTTATAAACGGAAAAAAAATTATATATGAAAAAGTCAAAGGCTTATTTTGCTTATTACCTTCTTCTACTATTTTTTTCATATTTCTTTTTGAAAAACTTGAGTTGATTCTAATTTGTTAAACAAACAACAATTGGAGATAATATAAAAAATTATGGAACTTGGAAGGGAATGTAGTTAAGCAAGGACCAAAGTATCGATTTCCAAAATCATTGCCAAATTCCTACTATGAGTGTGAAAGGTGAATCAAATGCTTGGAATTTGGAAGTGATCAAAGTAGTACAATTGTGAACTGAGAATTGTACAAACTTGTTGGAGTGTGAGTCAAGACGGCGGGCGGTGGCGCATGTCGGAAGGAGGCGACCAGGCAGACGACGAGAGTCGTTTGGTTGAGGGCCCCGAAAACGTTTAGGACGTCAATCACAAAATCAATGTCGTTTCAGATCTCCATACTTAAACAAATAAAGTTAAATTCTTTTGTTTGATTACAATTTTTAGTGGGCTATTGTCTAATGGGTTATTTAAAATAGATTGGATATTTGATTGGATAATAAGATATTAATTGTTAGCCTTTAAAATTGAGGCATGAATTTTTAGTTTTTTCTTACTAAAGTAGTTCCCTTAATATTTATAAGGTAGGTCACATTATTTTTGTTATAAAAATCTCTATGAAGTTTAAAAAATTAGGTGGGTCAAAGGACCCACCTTAACAAATACTAAACTCGCCACTGGGTTGGGGGAGTGGGTTTGGTAACCCATTCAGCCAACATTGGGCGGAGGATTTGACATGCCGGGTTCGGCTCGGCAACTCGGTCCCATGCACCGATGAAAGTGAAAAGGTGGTTGGCGTAATTGAATTTTTTTGAACGTTGGAGTTGGTCTTTTGACCGTTTTTTTCAAAAAAAAATTCAAAAAATCTCATTTTTTTTACCCTATATAAGTACCTTTAAATACCATATTTCATCCCACTTCATCTTTTTCATTTTTTCACTCAAACAAAATAATTTTTATAAAAAAAAGGGTTTCTCCTTCCAACCCAAAAGCTCAAAAAACACCAAAAGAAACACCCAAAACACAAACTCAATCTCACTTTATTCACCAAATTTCGTTCAAAGCCAAAGCAATCGACCTATTTATTCACCTTCAAATTTACATTTTGGTGGTTTTACTACCCATTTCAAGCCCAAAACCAACTTCAATATCAAAGTCAACCTCAATTCAAAATTAACCTCAATTTCAAAGACAACTTCAATTTCAAAACCAACATCAAATGAACTTCTCATCCCAAATGGAAAATGCCTTCAACTCATTTGACGATCTTCCCTGTAACGCCCTGTACCGAATCGTTTCCTAATGCGGGGTGGTGACCAAAGATCGGGTATCATCAGGCTTAGAGCCTTTGAGGAAAAGAGATTTAGACCCATTTAGGTGTGGGTAATGTAAATTAGATGATCCAGAAGTTCGGTTTGTGTTTTGGAGCCAAAGGGTATATCGCTAAAGTGTTAGTTCGT